AAACTTGGCAGCCCTCTGTAATTACAAAAACATCAACAACATCAACAACATCAACAACACACATACATATCCAAAGCTGCCCACCGACCCACCCGTGAGTAACTGAACGTGTTGCCGTAACGCAGTTTCCGGGTCCTCAGACACACCAGGTCGGAGGGGTCGTCAGTGTCCTGCGGGCAAATGCAAGAGGGCCATCATCCGGTTGATATCCGGGTCGTACACGAAAGTGTACTGCCATTTACCCCCAACATCACATTACACATGACACCCCGCCCATGCACACCTGTGTGCGTGTGTATGTGCGGGAGAGCGGGGGGTAAGGCCCTGGAGCAGTGTTCTCAAGGTGAACGGGCGTCGCACACCATTCAAATCACACGCCAGCTTTTCAAGTTTTGGTTTGAGATGGACAGACAGACGGACATCAAGGCATATCCGGTAACCGTGCCCCGCAAACGCAACTATGCAAACGACGGTATGAAGACACAATGATATGTGTGTGTGGATGGGGTGATAGCTGTAAGAATCAACCCAAGTTCCGGGGCGCTTTCCTTCGCTTCATGACTGCTGCATTCTTACCCCCGCCCCATCCCAACCCACCCTGTTAACCTACTCTTAACCAACCCAACTCAACCTGCCCAGACCCTAACGAACTCAACCGAACGAACCAAACCAAGACAAGACAGCCCAGCCCACCTGGGCGTCGTGCACGATGTCGAACACGTCAGCACTCAGGTTGATATCAACTCTGGATAGGAGGACACCCAGGCAGCAGCAACCCGATCTGCGGCTGCGCTGGAGGAAGAGCTCGCCACCGCTGTCGCTGCAGCACCCGTAGGCGGAGATGATGCGGACGGCGGTGGCTGCGGCGGCCACAGAGCCAGACCGAAATGCGTGCGGTGCTTCCATGACCCACGGGTCATAACAGGTGCACCGTTGGCAAGGCCGCACACAAGCCCCAAAATGAACTTGACCTGCAGCCAGGAGTCGTCACTGCCGCCAGCCATAGTATATAACACCGTACATTAAGACTCGGAAACTGGAGGGAATGCCGTACATTCACCACCACCCCACGCCACCCTCCCCTGCGCCGCCCAGCGCAGCGCTGCCCTTCCCTCATCCGCCCCCGGCAGCGCCGCCCCCCCCCCTGC